TACTGGGATGAAATCTAGATTAATATTTGGCATTTACATTTAATAAATGAAAATATTTATTTTTCTTGCGCTATTTCTTTTTTATAAATTTAAAATTGCAAATGTAGTAAATAAAGAAGCAATAAATAATTTTATATTAGTATTTTAAGAATACCTAATCTCGGTCACAATTTTTTTTGCATCGTCTGACAGATTATCATTGTGAATTTTTCACCTTGTTTTTTAGTGCCGTTATCAACAAAAACTAGATGTGTACGGTACAATGTGGAACTCCACATTCGTTTGACCTTTACCGCATATATGTGTGTGTGTGTGTGTGTGCATTATACAATTGCACACAGACACGCATGCACTAGCGATTTAGTATTAACGCATACTTTCACTTGATAAGAGTTACGTACCTATTTATTCACACGTTTCGGTACAAGATAAGATCGTAATTCAAGACAAGTATTCGACTGCACCGATCGCGCATCTCTTAATCTTCACAAAACTAATCCTAAGTTTGATAACATGATGAAATCAATTCGATTGTTGTTAAAATAAGTGATAACGGCACCGACTGATAAGCAAAAAGTAAGAAAAAGTTATGTCACTCACCGATGTTGACAATCCGGATGTTTTCGATGTCCTGGAGGAATTTAAGTGCCACTGAGACGTTTTCCAATTTTTGAGAACGAAACGCCGGTCGTTTGTTGTGCTTTGGCAGTTTTTTCCCGGAGAGAACTTCAATGAGGGTGATGAGCCGCAATCCATCGCTTAAGTCCGTTTCAAGATCACCAATGTGCTTTTGGACGGTCTTCAGTTGTTCATTAGCCCATCTTGTAAACGTATTCTGTTGAATCTTCTTCCATGCGGCGTCTTCAGCCAGGTCGCGCTCAGCTTCGACCATCTCGTCCTCTTCATTGGCCTCACCGTAATCATTCTGATTCCGTGTCGCGTTAAGTGACTCTACCACGCCGCCGTGGTATCCCTCCTCGCTGCTCATGTTGTTCGAAACACAAGTTTTATCTTCAAACCGAATTCCAGACTGCAGTTCTGGACAAAAACACGAACGATTACCTCATAAAACAATCGGAACCGAGATAAACTTAACTAACTGAACAAAAATAACGCAGCTTTTCATATTTTCTAAACTATTTTGCATCTTCAAAAATAATAAACAATCGCTTCAACACCGACCCCCGCAAATACTGTTATCAGTAATTTATTGTATAAGCAAATTAAACACTTTTCCTTGTACATACACACACTTTACAATGGTATCAATGTTTCCAAGTTTACCAGGTTTCCTTACCTAAAAGGAAGATTTTGTCTGTCTGTCTCTATGTCACTGCCCTTTTGTTGAGCAACTACTTTGCCTAATACAAATAATAAGTACTTTCAACTTCGGTACAGTTACAGATCTTCCTTACTCACTTGCACTAGCATTTGAAAGAACTTTGTAAAAATTTTCATTAAAAATAGGGTCCCACATGACTAATGATCAAAAACTGAATGTTTCCATAACAGTGGAATATTCTACATTATAATCAACTACACGACAGATGACACTAATTAGATCTTAAAGCAAACTGAAATATTGCCTTAGCTTCTTCGTTCACATAACTGTAACCATTAAACGACTTGCTTACCAATTTTCCTAAGAAATTCAAAAATGTATTTGTTCCGTTTCTATTTGCGAATGGGATTGTTCAATTGCATTGTGAATAATACCCAATTATTTTCCCAAGAAAATATCTGTATGAGACAAGTAGGTACATCCCGTTGTCAATATTTCTTTACAAAAATGCAGCAATATTCAAAAGCACAAATAGGACAACACAAATTTGAAGTACGTTTCCGTATGTTCATTCGTTCGTTTCCTATTTTGATTTTTACTTTTATTTTTCTTCAACAAACAACGAGATAAATAAGAAAACAAAAATTCGATACTCATGAGCGTACCTATTGTAGTTGGTGTTTTTGTAAGTCACACTAACTTGTACACGATATTATGAGAATATTAAGTTTCCTTCAAATACCTTATCGCCTTACATATACTACATATATATATATATATATAAACCTACCCTGCACCTGAATAAATGAAAATAAACCATAAACAATGTGGACTAATACAAATAAAAATTTAAAATAGATATTTTTGAACTTGAAATCAGACATCTATGTGCGCTCTAGAATTTATTTTAAATGATAAGAAACTGGCAAGAACATAAACAATATAATTAAAAGGCTTATTCTGCTATGTGTACCTTTTTCCCTTTGAAATAATCTGACCAAGGTTCGGAAGACACCTCAATAGCGCCCCTTATTGTAAATAATAAAGCTACTGTTTCGCAGATACTAATTACTTTCATCAGGGATAATGTACAAAAAACAAGGGGTATTCAAACACCCGATATTTATTTATGTGGAGCGATTTGATTAAATTATATTTCATTCCTATCGACTTGGTTTAATTAAGTTATTTCCTATTTCCGTGACGATTCGGTTTTAGATAAGAATTACAAGAATTAAACACTTGTTACTGGGATGAAATCTAGATTATCATATTACACCTGAAGTAGCTTTTCAATCTGATATACATCTCAATACTTTCAATTAAAATAGAAGAATTGAATATATTGCATTTTCTCTTATTTTCTTATCTCATTTCGTCAGGCTTGCCATACTATTCGATTGCTAATGTTAGAAAAAAGTTTGCTACTGTTTGTATCAAATCTTCTAACATAACTATTTGTTCTGCAATATCATGTCAGTAAAATAATATTGGCAATAAAAAGATAATTAATCGAGTACAACAAACTATAAATGTAAACAAACAATACCGATAACATTAAAAATAATAAACTTATTGATAATAAATCACTGCATACCAGATCATATCTGACAATGAGCCGTATTCTAAACAAACCTAATCTCAGTGTCCTATGATTAGTTATGTTGTTATGTATCAGATAAAAATTTACTTTTATATTTATTTACCAACATAAATGCATATCATATTCACAAAAATGGAAAAATTGCAGTTTTTGAAAAAACAATGGTTTTAACTTCATGAAAATGCTAAATGGTTAAGAGATCTATAAACTCAAATTTTAAAGGCCAAAAAGCAGAAAATTGATTAAACAAGGCAATTCGTAGTTTATATGTACAATTAACTTAATTCGTCTTATAAAAAAGCACCAAGTAATAGTGTTGGGCATTTTGTTGTAGAGACACATGGAAAATAAGAAATTTCTAGTTTTTTATCGCATCTAACATGATCAAACATGATGTATAACAAACTCTCTATTCTATAATTAATTTGTAAAAACTAAAAAGGAGAATGTTCAATTATTTACCAATGTTCTCCTAATTCAAATTCATTTCTGTTGACGCTGCCACACAATTAATAACACTATTATAGTTATTTAACTTATTTAGATTGTTTTATTGTTAGAGGCACCCCTGCGACATCTCATGGTGATACGTGCAACTGTTCCTCAAAATTTAGTAGTTTTCTATTACGCTTTATTTGAAAATTATTATTGTAATTAATATTGTAAAACAATTTACTACGTTTTATAATACAAACTTGCTTATTATATTAATATACTTAACTTGATTATTATANACCGTAATATATTAATTATATTTATATAAACCTCTGAAATAATAAATTTCTTAACTTTTATACTAAAAAAATAAAAGCGGCAAATTTTGTTTGAATTTTAAAAACTCTCATTATTTTCGTGTCAGTTAAGAGAAATAATGAAGCCAAAACAGAATTACGTTTTGTATTTCATTTTAAAATAAGAAAACAAGAATTATCGCACAAGGAGGACAATGTTTATTGTTTTATGTCAGAAAGGTCATTAATAGTATTAAATTCCTTACCATAAACGTAATTCCCATTTTGTACTGTTAATAAACGAAAAACAATTCATGTTTAGCTTTTAAATAGATACAATATGCAATAATTTCCCAAATATGTTAAAATTACAGTAACTAACCTATAAAATCGCGTTCGAAACTTTTATTTTTATCAAATTATAAAAAACAAAATAGAATCGATGTACTCATACAAGCACATAAATTAAATGGTTTTTAAAATTTACTTACTAACGTTTCTTTTATATTTCTTCTGTTAGCTGCATAAAAAAGTAATGTATAATAACTATCCACCCACACAACTATAAGAAAGTTTGAAATTTATAATGCGTTTAATGTAAAGTTTAAAATGGATACTCGATGAAATACAAACTAAAAAAGACCATAAGTTATGTGTTGCATTCTATGTTTTGTATTTCACATTTAGAAAAGCAACGTTTATATATAAATCACTTTTATTTTTACACACAATTTCATGCGACAAGATAATAATGATTTAGATTTCGAAGGTGAGACAGCCAAAAAAAGAACATAAAACACTACAAACAGTCTATATAAAGACAGATATCATTTCTCAAATGGCGGTAATCTGAGATATTGAAAAACAAGTACAGAAAGTAATACTTTCTTTAAATTCCCATACAAATCGCTAAACAAACGCAGTAAACAACTTGCAATTAATAAATACTAATAAGTCGAATAATGTTTGCAAGTTCGCGAAACATGAGAAATCATCTTATCAACGTGAAATCTCTTACCTTCTTAAAATAAAATTCCTACCAAAATCGTTTTTCACATACACAAAACATTTCACATCGACACTTTCTGAAAATGTTGAAGTCTACGTGGTGTACGATCGTTGAGCCAGCCAAAGATAAGTCTAAACCCTATTAATAGCAGCACGCCACACTTGAATCCATGGGTAAGTTGTTTATAGAATATGAATCTTTGATTCTTAACCCCCACTTTTTTAAATACTCCCTACTTTTTTTAACATTTGTTTATCAAAATAATGTTTTATTTTACTCTTTTAATGTTTATGTAAGTATGTATCTCAAATAATTACTTATTTTTAATTAATGCTATAATTAACATGTAAATACTTATAGTCTAAAAGTTTGATTAAAAAAAAGTTCTGATAGGGGCTCTCGTATGAACAAAAAAAACCCAAAAGAATCTCAAATTTTATTTGTTAATGCATTCATACATACAAGTAAAATAAAAATATCTAGATTATCTACCAGGTTTCTTCAAAACTTTGAATGCTGCATATTATATTTTCTTTTTAATAATAAATTGAATATATATTCAAATTGTAACGACTTATTTTATCGCCAGTAAATATTCTTAGGGTGGTATTTTAAGGAATACTTACTTAATGGCCTGAAGATGATTGGTACGGAATATGAAATACCTGTTGTTAAAATTATAAAAACTAAAGATTACGATTCTCTTTAATTGGTTTGCATAAAATTTGCCACTAGTGAATGACTCGCATTTTATTTTCCAACTTCTGACTAAATTTCGAAATGAGTCACTCGAAATAAAATATTGTATGATACAAAAATTATTCACGATTAGTTAAGAACTTGGCGAGAGTATACGTGAATCAAAAATTCGACATACGAAGGTTGAAAAACATTGGCCGTTTGCCAAAGGCTACGATTGTTTCATTTTAACAAGTGCAATTAAAGTAATATGAGTTTATTTATTGTAATTATCAATGCAGTTGTTATTATAATTTTCTTGTAGGTAAAGAATACCTAACAAAAAAGTCGAAAAGGAAAAAGCAATAATTCCATAAAAGTACGAACAAAAAAGAATGTTATATACAGGGTGGTGTGATACTTCTTGTATCGTAGGCTATTTATTAATTATTCAAAAATATATTTGTAGCACTTTTTTTAATATAAGTACAATACAATGATATATAGAAAAACTGTTACTTCTGAACACCATGTATATGCTTAGCTGATAGGTGGAACTTTGTTGCCCATAAAAGGCTTACGCGACACGGTTTTCCATATCTGAAAGAGGTCTTATTACGTAATTTCTGTCTTATATGGAGGTCATTTTCGATTGTGAATCATTTAAGTTTATCTCTTTTGCACATTTGTTATGTTTGTTGGTTTTTACTTGAAAGACAAGTTTCACAAATTACTTCTTTTATAAGCTCGTTTGAAATTGCCAGTGAAGTTCGTTGGACCTTCTTTTCAACAAAATTACACAAATAAAAAGCATAAGAAGCAACGCTATTACCAATCCTGTTAATGTGTACGTTGCATGTTTGCATTCTGGACCTAGAAATTGTAAAACATTAACTAAAACACCAAATCAGTCTAACAGAACTCATTATAAAGCCAGTCAAATACGGATTAGGTTTTAGCGCACCGAAGTTTCCGTACCGCTAATTTTCACTCTGTAACTAGTTCTAGTTCGACCTTCGAATTTAGACTTTATGGTACAAATTCGGGAAAAATATCGAATTACAAATTAAAAAATTAATATACACACAACTCTTATTAAACATGGATAGTAATTACCTGCTGTTTTTTGAAAATTTTCTGTTTGAGCGTCGTTAATGAGTTCGGTATTTAAGGCTAAACTTTTAAGAACATCGTTCCAAAAATAGTACGATCTCATTCTTTCAAATTCCTTTCTTGTTATCTCGATATCATCTTTGTTACTAAAATACTGTATATGATTTTCATTTGCTTTATAATTTGGCCACACCTTTTTCTGATAATTTGGAGTAGGATTCCTGAAAGAAATAAAATATTCTATACAATTCAATTGTCGTATTTACAGTGGTATTAACATTGAGCATAAATAATTAGGAAAATATATCAAAAGGGTACCCGTAGTTTATAAAATTAATCCATAGGCTTTTAATTCTTTCGCTGATACTGTTTTCCCAGTAGGTAAATCTTCTTCTACCAGCTTGGTTTAACAAAAGTGGGCCAAATAATAAAATTAAATCTGACGATGTGATGTAGTCTAAAACGTCAAAAATAATCACCTTTAGTACCTAATTGGACTCAAAACTGTTCTTTACCTGAAGAATTAAATTTGAGACCTATATCATCAACGTAATACACATAAATTGGTGACCTATGTGATGACAAAAAATGATTTGTTTGAAGAAAGACAGGTATTTCAGTTTTTGCTTCAAAATACAATTGTATTAAGAGGTTTTCCAAAATATCAGTACGGCCATTGCTAGAGGTAACGTACCTCCACTTCAGAAGATCAGAAATTAGATTTTCGTTTTTTCCTTTGAAATTGTATTTTTTCATAATTTCGGGAATAATTATTTCTTCAACAAAGTTTTTAAATTCTTTATATCCCCCATTAATAATGTTACTCCAACGTCCTTAAATGATCAGTTGAATAAACATTAATATTTATTATTACTGAAGGGCATCATTACATTTTTTTCTGAGCCACATTGTAACACAACAGAAAAAAATATAAAATAAAAACATCCATATACGAAAAAGCGCTCGTGAAAATGAAAATTAACAATTACCCATAAAGGATGACTATTATGTTAGAGAGTACGTAGAATTTAGTGGTGTCAAAAGATTTTTCGTGCCGTTTCAAATTAACTTTGTGTGGTGTTGTAGTAACAGGCTAAAGTAGTGAAAAAGTCCATACACGAAAAAGCGCTCGTAAAATTACTTCGAACTGGTAGTTACTAAATTAGCTAAAAGAGGTGATTATTATGTTAAAAAGTACGTAGAATTTAGTGATGTCAATAGATTTTTGGTGCCGTATCAAATTAAGTTTTTACGGTGTTGTAACTCGCTAATGTAATGAAAAAATCTATACACTAAAAAGCGCTCGTGAAGTTACTTCGAAATGGTAGTTAATAAATTAACCAAAATGGGTGATTATTATGTTAAAAAGTCCGTAGAAGTTAGCGGTGTCAAGAGATTTTTGTTGCGTGCGCGTAATGGTACCCTTTAATGTTATTCACTTACCAAAAATTGGATCTGATACAGGTGTTCCTAGCCCAGTTAAAATAGGGACTTGCATAGAAACTCCCGATTTTAATGCATTTTCAAAATTAAATGGTAAATACTGATCATTAAGAAATAAAAAATCATCAACCACAGGAGAAAAACGGTCGGTATAATTGCTTGACTAAAAGCAAAGTTCAGTATTTTCCTTAAATATTTATTGAGTTGTCATTTTTTAATTATTTAATTGTCGGACTCAAAACTAAAAGTGCATTATGTACACCTTCACTTCCGGTAACCCGTTATTTTTCTTTATTTTTTTAAACTTACATCTACATATTCTTCATATGCTTTGAGAATCTCAGCGGTAGACTTAGAACGTAAACATCTCAACGTGCTTTTCGCGTAATTACTGAAGCACCCCAATATGCCAGCTACAGTCTGAGATGCTTTCACAACGTTGTTTTTCGTATGCCATGGTGATAAAATGCTACCCGACGACAGTATTACTTTTTGAAACAAGTCTAAATGGCATAGATAATAGTAATTAAAGGAAAAAGTAAAAAAATGAAAGTTTTAACTATAAAATATAGGGTTGTTCGGAAAGTCATTTCGTTTTTTTTTTGTGGAAATGAAAGACAGTTTTCGTATAATAAACAAATACTTTATTAAATTATATATTGACCGTTCTGGTCCAACACCTTTTGCCATCTTTCTGGTAGTAGCATAATTCCACGCTCATAAAATTTTTGGTCTTTGCTGGCAAAAAACTGATCGAGGAGGTTTTTGACCTCCTCATTTGAGGTGAAGGTTTTACCGTCTAAAAAATTTTGGAGTGACCGGAACAAATAATAATCCGATGGTGCCAGGTCTGGAGAATATGGTGGGTGTAGCATTGTATCCCATTCAAGCTGTAAAAGCTTTTGGCGAGTGACCAAACTTGTGTGAGGTCTCGCGTTGTCTTGGTGAAACACTACACCTTTCCTGTTGATTAGTTCTGACCTTTTCTGTTGAAGTGCATCATTCAGTTTGTCCAGCTGATGACAGTAGACTTCCGAATTAATCGTTGTGTTATCCGGTAAAAGCTCAAAAAAAACGATTCCTTTAAAATCCCACCAAACAGACAGCATCACCTTTTTTTGGTGAATATCGGCTTTGGAAATGGTTTGAGCCGGTTCATCTTTTTTGCTCCATGACCTCTTGCGTTTGACGTTGTTGTATACAACCCATTTTTCGTCCCCAGTGATGATGCGCTTCAAAAACGGATCATTTTCGTGACGTTTGAGAAGCGAATCGCAGACGTCAATGCGGCGACACAGATTTCTCTCTGTGAGAACATGGGGAACCCATACATCGAGCTTCGAGGATAATCCCAGGCCTTTCAAGTGGTCATAAACTGTTGAATTTGATAAATTTAACCTCAATTCGATCTCACGTGTTGTTATTCGCCGGTTCACATCAACTAATGCCTTTATCGCGTCTTTATCAGTTTCAACCGGCCTTCCCGAACGTGGTGCATTAAATCCTCTGTCGGGAAAAAACGAAATGACTTTCCGAACAACCCGATATCATGACTACCTGCGGTTCTAATTGAGATCATGTGTAAAGTTGCGCTAGCTGCTCCAGCTGAATAGCCGAAAAGGGTAACTTTTTCACTATCACCCCCGAATTTTCGAATATTCTCTTTCACCCATATGAGCGATAAATATTGGTCTAATAAGCCCATATTGCCCCTGGCTTCCTTATTCTCAAAACAAAGGAAACCGAATATATTAAGTCTGTAGTTAGCATTAACTACTACAACACCTTCTACTGCAAGGTCTTGTCCCGATATCGGAAATCTGTTACCCTGGGCGAATTCGGATCCCTCGAAAAATACTACTACCGACAAAGGTGAATCCTCTGATACACCCTGCAAGTTTAATGTTTATGAATTTGTGTCATACATACGTATTTTAAGTTCTCATTCGATTCACTGGGAATCAAAGGATATTAGCACGTATGTTGCATGTAAACTAGTTAATTGCTATTTTCGAGGGGTGTGAGAACATAGGTACAATCTAATATTGTATAGAACAATAAGACAAAGCATGTGTTCTGATATTACTACACTGTATGTCTATCTGCGATATGTAAACATTATGTTCGTGGTTCTGATATGAAATACGCGGTGACAATAATATTTGTAATTAATTTCGTAGTTGTTCCATCATTGTAAATAACAATTACACTGTTTCCCAATTCAACAATTTCATATTTAATCTTCCTAATCAAAATTGTTTTCACATAATAGTTTAATGTTTATCATCCCAGCTAGACAACCAAATGAGTAGAAATCCCTTTTTAATTTGTTATGTATGAAGAAAAAACAGAAACGTTGAGGCATTTTTTCGAACAGCCTATATAAGTATTTATGATCATTAAAAATTGGACCATTTCATTGTGCCCTTTTTGAGTGGATCACACTGTATATTTTACAATAATAAAAAATTATTTACTTCCGGTGTCCATATGTTAAGAAATAAACAATTTTCGTTTTCGTTTACATCATTTCGAATTGGCAATTGAGGACAGGAAGATCCGTATGCTGAGGCTTGATATGTCCCATTCCATCCGCCATGAATTTGTGGAGGCGAGAAACGTAATTGGCCCACAGGAGGAGCAGCGAAAGGTATACCTAAATATGCATTAATCACCTTGCCTGATTCAGCATATACTTTTACCTAAAATGCCCAAAAGTGCCTACATTCTAATCATAAACATTTCCAAAAATTATTTATTAAACGATAACTTAAACACTCGAACAAAACGTTTTACTGAACATCCCCGGGCAGTGGCACTCAGGGGCGGAAGAATTATTCCCATATTAGTACTTTTTGCCACAGGAATGAGATGGAAAAATAGAGTAGAGTTACAACAGTACAACTTACCCCAGCAACCACTCCTTGTTTTATTCTCACCGTGGGTCTCTTTGCTTGTGTTTCAATAGTATAAACACACTTTACAAAAAATATTAAAAAAAATACGTAAAACATATTTACAGATGCCGAAACTTGTACTCAGTTTTTCAATACGATAGTGAACATTGTATTATTGTTTTTTAACTCCGCAATAGTAAAAACTTCCGAACAACAGACCTGTGTTTAGTCAAACTAATTATCGTTGTTTTTACTTCCTCTCAAGCCTTATTGTTTTGCATCCGGTTTGAAAAACAAAATTTTTATGCTGTTATGCATTACAGTTAAAACAGATATAATTTACCTATGTATTTTTACTTTTGGTAAGTAAAATACATACATGCAGTTTCAAAAAATAGTAATAATGTTAAGTATTAATTCCGTCTAATTGATTTTTTATATTACAGCTTCTTGTAAAACTTGAAAGTCTTATTTCAAACAATTTATTTCAATTTCATTAAATATTGTTAAAGATCTAACTAATTTTTGTATATGATACTTAATTAGTTAAATACAATCAAATTTTATCTTCATTTAAAGAAAAAGGTTTTTGTAAATAACGTCGTCAGTATTGAACAAATAAAAGTTTTCGGTAGAAGAAACAATTTAAATCGCACCTATAAATTGCTATTCTTGGAGAATATAAAAACAGCATTATGGTATTTTTTAGACATACACCCTGTATATTACAATCATAATAATTTTAAAATTTGACCAGGCTGCGTCATCTACTAGCACATAACGAAAGTAAAATTATGGCAATTTCACGTGATACAGATAATACAGGGCATGATAAACATCTGTCAGACTATGTTTTTCTTCAAAGTTCAACATAAATAAATATTCGAAATTAAGGTCTGGTGGCGGAAACATTTCCATTTTTCAACAATTTAATTTACTTTCCTTCTTTTCAGAAACTAGAAATATGCAAGTATACAATGGTTGGTGACGTAAATGAAATTCGAAGTAATTCTTCCAATGAATTAGCAGATGTGTTTTTTGAAAAAACGAGGAAAGAAAATATTTCTCGCATTCAGAAAATCCTTAAAATTAATTTACATGGCTGTGATCTCCTTTTCTGTTTGTTTTATTCATCATTAAATTCATTTAGAGTAGAACAGTGCCTTAAACCTTTGCCGCCTGGTTTTCAAAGTAATGATACTGATTCCATTGACAAATTAGTAAGAATCAGAATAAATACATTAAAAATAAATTCCTGAAAGACTAAACGTGTATTTAAAATTATAAATTTAATTGTAGAGGCAAATATGTTCTTCGCTGCCAGGTCTGAGAAGTTTGATGTTGGATCCTAGTCATTTATCTGCAGAAGCCCTTGCCATATTAAACTACCTCCTGTTTTGCAAAAATCAACCACTTTTAAGACGAATAGACTTAGTAAATGGATTATTATATGTACAATACTCAGAAGTTTTACATTTCACTATTTTTAGGATAATTTCCAATTTCCTGATGAAACTGATATAACTTTATTGCCCAACCATGTATTCGAAGTTATTTATCCACAACATATGACAGATTCATGGAATCGTCGTAAGAAAAATCATAATGTTATTATGGCATTCCATGGTAGTCAACTTGAAAACTTTTATTCTATCATCAGGTTCGGTTTACAACACCATTTTGGGAATGGGAAAGTAAGAGAATCAGTATGTAAAAATGAAACTTCTAGATTTAAATGTTATTCATTTATGTTAGATACAGTTATTTGGACAAGGTACTTATCTATCAACTGAGTTAAGTGTTAGCATGATTTTTGCACCATTTTCAAGGAATTGGCCTAAAAGTGTTTTGGGTGCCAAATTAAGCATTATTGCTGTTTGTGAAGTTTTAGATATTAAACATAAAGTCAAAAAAAAAGGTAGTATCTCATAATTATCATATTATTTCTTTAATTTCAACCTCAATGTATTCTTTTTAGCATCTAGCAATTACAGAGGTATTGGAGGAGAAATTCCTGATAAATATGTTGTTGTTACAGACAATGAAGTTATGAAAATAAAATATTTATTAGTTTACAGTAAACGTGAGGCTAATTTTCGGTCCTGGTCATACCGAAATGTTTTTGCAGTTTTACTTCTTCTGTATTTCGTTTTTTTGTGCATTATAGGTTCCCAAAACAGTTTGTCAATAACATTTACAAGATTGTGGAATAAGTACATAAAAAAGCATTTTCTGCAGTATTAGTACAATCAAATGTACCTTAGATAGTTAATTGTAACACCAACTAAAGTTTTTCTGACCTTATTCCACAACATTATTTGTATGATTGGTTAAAATGTAATATGTAATTTCTTTTTTGTGTTGATGTTAACATTAAGTTTTCTGCAGGATACTATCAGTACAAAAAAATGTGAATAGTTACTACTACTAAACAAGCAATTTTTATAGTAACTGTGATCAACTACAGAAAATTTTGTATTTATATACATTTGTTAATAAAAGTGTTAGTAATTTATGTTTATTTATTAAATACACAAAAATAAAGTTTCTCGTAACCCATACCCATTGTTAATTGGGTTGCATAACTTTAAGGTTCCTAAACGCGAAAAGTTTTTATAAATGAAAATACGGTGTATTTACAATTTGTTAATTATATATTCTTGTTTATGTTGTTTTTATGGACAAATATTCTCTTAAACCGTCGACTTAAATTTGATTATGATTAATCTTACCTACAACATATTGTTTTTGAACTTGAAATGTTTTTCCCCTATCCCAATAATTGGAATAAACGATAAGATAAAAATTTTTGGACTTAATTAATAATATAGGAATTTCCAATGTTTGTGATCATATGTATCGATCTGTTTGCTATCCATGTAATTTTTTTTGTTTGAATTCCCTTGTGATTTTAATTCAAACCACATAATGAAACTAGTATATAACTGACAGATGGTGTTATTTGCTCAGATAATTGCAAAATTAAATTACTTTGCACATTTACGTCATAAGTACAACAGGTGGAGAGAGGAAAAGAGGGAAATGTGTAGGCACACGTAGAATAGGATGTGTAGGTTGAATACAATTGGATGCTAGACAATCGAGAAAAATTGGAAACTGGAAGAAGCGGTTTGCTTGTGTTGACGTATTTACATACTAATTGACATTCGGTTGATTTTGATTGAGTTTTTGTCACAATCAACAGAACAGTGCTTATACTTATTTTATGATGCGATCCAGTCTGTAGACGTGTGGTGTGTTATCATTGTGATTATTGTATTGCTTGACAATTGAGTAACTTTTGGTTAACCAAAAAGAAATTGCTTGCGCACGAATACGGTTGAATATTTATTTCAAAATCGATTGTTTACTTGATAATGGGTAACCATATGTTTTATTTAAGAAGCTCAGTTATTTTTATTTGTTTGCAATTAGTGCTGTCTCTTCATGTAAAAAAGTTTCCTCTATTGATGCCAAAGGTTCATCCAGACAGGGTATGTTCTTTCTCCTTTTTGATGTATTTTATATTAAGTAGGTAATACATAAGATTTCGAACTAATAAGACTAATTCAAAGTTTATACATTTATGAAAACAATTGCCCTTATAGTTGTTAATTAACATGTTTATCTTAGGAGGAACTGTATTTATGCACCCCTGTCAGAGTAGCCCTTGACAAAACTTTCTATATTGGTAAGTTAATATTTACTATTATAAATTCAATATTCATAAATTACTATTTACTTATTATACTTTAGTTGGTTTTGAACCAAATGCCACAATGCAAACTGCCCATCATATGTTATTATATGGTTGTGCAAAACCTGGTACTGATGACATTTATTGGTAAGTTTTGAAATATTTTTTAAAAAACATGTTTTTAAGTTGTACTTTCTTTCTAAAGGGACTGTGGTGAAATGGCCATGTCAAGTCCAAATAATAGTACTTTACAGAAAGCAAGTCCATGTAAGGAAGGTTCCCATGTAAGTTTGTGTAAATAAACAAAATTAATTTCAATTTTAAAACTATCAAATCTTTCAAAGGTTATTTATGCCTGGGCTAGAGATGCTAAACGTCTTCAGTTGCCTGAAGATGTTGGATTTGAAGTTGGTCCTGGCACTCAGATTCAGTATTTAGTATTACAAGTACATTATGCACATATTGATAAATTCAAAGGTAATATTAATATGTTCAGCAATATTAAACAATAATTTTATACATTTGATTTCAGATGGAAGCACAGATGACTCAGGTGTATTTTTATTATATACGGAAGAAAGGTAATAAAACATTTGTGCAATTTTATTATGCTTTAATGTCTTATTGAATCAATTATAGGCAGAACAAATTAGCTGGAGTTATTTTGCTGGGAACAGGAGGTGCCATTCCTCCTAATTCAATTACACACATGGAGACAGATTGTAAAATTAATGAAGATAAAATTATTTATCCATTTGCATATCGAACACATACCCATAGTTTAGGTAACACATGAGACCTTTAATTAATATAAAATTGTAAAACTGTAATATTTGTCTATAATATGTAGGTAGAGTTGTCTCTGGATACAAAGTTCGACGAGATAGATATGGACTTGACCATTGGACACTGCTAGGGAAAAGGAATCCACTAACACCACAAACATTTTATCCTGTGTTTAACCGAGATCCTGTATTGCCAGGTGATGTTTTGGTAAGTGAACAAAGATACTTTTTTACTATGCAGATATTAACTGCTTAATAAAAGAAATATAACTGTTTTACTGACAAGAAAGCTGGTAATTTCAGGTAGTCTCCTTTAATAAGAATATTACTGTAAATAATAAGTTTTTGAAAAAGAGTTAGTTGCTTTTCATTAAACTAATTTAAAAGTTAATAATAATAAAAAAGAGAAAACGTCTGAACAGTTGTTTGTAATGTTTATTCTATTCTACAAAAAATGTATAAAATCTTTTAGGCAGCAAGATGTACTATGGAGAACAAGAAGAATACATACACACATGTAGGGTATGTTATCAAGAAATTGGTAAACAAATTAAGCAGTCTTTTTAATTTTTAACACTAATTACAGGCTTACTAATAACGATGAAATGTGCAATTTCTATCTCATGTATTACGTAAAAGAAGGCACCCCGTTAGAGAAGCAATATTGTTTTACAAGTGGGCCCCCATATTTCTATTGGAACATGGAAGACCAATTGAATAATATACCAGATGTTGATGCTTCGATGTTGTAATTTCTATCCTAAATGTGATCTATACATTCCTCTCTCAACATGCAAGGCTACTGAATTTTCTTGAGATTGTAATATTATTTTTCTATGATATATTTTAGTTGGTAAGTTTTACAGAACAAAACTATATTCATAACGCTTTCCTCGCACAAAGACATCAACATTTTTATTTACTAACATTAAAGTCAACAGTCGGTTATTTAAAATGTTGAAATGAATATTAATGCCAACAGCCATGTCATGTTGTGTATAAACAGTAATTAGTTAATTTTTTTTGTTGTTTGTTTTGTTATTTATTATTTTAAAATAAGTATCTCGTTATTTCAGTAAATTGACCTAATTTTAGCATTTGTACTTAATTTTTTTATACTATTTACACGGTAAATGAAAATGATGTCAATTCAGCGCTTTAAATAACGTATCTTAAACTGAAATCATATTTAAAGGAATCTCTGTCGAATTACCCCATGACGTTTAAAAGGTAGTAAACTAGTAAACCTTCATTCTTTTTGAAGATACAATTGTTCACCTTGTACTACCACTTCTTCATCAACGTATCTTGCTATAAAGAAAAATTAAGTTAACAAATTATGAAGAATATACATATATATTTATAAAGTAATATTATTATCGAAAATGTAATCTTATAATTCCTGGGCAGCTTTAATTTACAAGTCGTTTGCCATTGTTCTGATGTCTTAAATGGGGACATTTGAAATATTACAAATGAATCTGATGTGATAAAGTAACGAAGATAGTTTGTTTTCTGGTACTAATATTTAATGTTCCATATTATGTGCTGTGATTTTTTAAACATATTATATTCGTGTTAATGATTGAACATTATTATTTTACATACAAAAGAATATGTATATGTATACACGATATAAACTGAATGTTGCATAAGCCACTCAGAAAATGAATGATTAAAAATATTTTGCACGTAACTGTTATGTACTTAAGTAATCTAAAGAGCCAATTTCCCGAAAGCTACAACATGCTTAACTATTTGAAACTAGCAATCTACATCGTCCTCTACCCCTATTTTCTCCCGTTTCTGCTTCTAGCATGTCTCTAATTATCCCTTTATTGTTTTATTGTGTTTCTTTTTTTTTCCATTACTTCTTCATTTGCTGTCCACGATATTTTCATTATCCACCACATTTCAATTGCTTCCATATCTATTATTTCCCACCCCACCCATCGGTTACGGTTCGCACAAAAAAAAATCAGAGATTTAAATTAAGTATAATATTTTCTTCATAAATGTAAATGCATCCCTGTCCGCTTCTGCATTGTTTATTCGGGATTCTCTTATTTACAATTCCAACCTTTAAGTACTAAAGTTAAAAATTTTGTTAGTATAAGGTGCTAAATAGGTAAATTAGATCATATATTAATGAGGTACAAATGTAAAGAAATGTGAAATGAAAATAAGCAAAACGACTAGTTGTTAAAGTTTGCCAAATATTTTATTACGGATTTTAAAAATAATAGCAAAAGTTCAAAATTATTTAAATATAGTTAGTGTTAATTTAGTACTTATTTATGTTGAAAATAACAAATTTTTTCCTCCCAAAAATAAATATTTCATCTTCAGTAAGACAAAAGCTATGTTTCATTATCTAGATGGTGTAGTAAAAAATTGTTCTTAGAAATGAGGAAGAAATTGTTTTAGGGTCCAAATGTTGCCATTTTTTGAGTAAAAAATTTGCAATTTTCTGCTTAATTAAAATGAACGTATTCTTATTGCAAAAATTAATTTTGCTTTAAATGCTTCCGTTCTATTGCTTTGTAAGTCTGTGATGAAAATATGTTGCGCTTGTTTTTTTATTTTGTTATAAACTTTTACTTCGGTCAATTTTACAAATATGTATTTCCGTAACCATATCATTGTACATGTATAAATATTTTGTACGTCAATTTAAAACAGAATAAAATATTTTAACAATTAATTTTATTAAAGACTATGTCCAGTATTAAATTTATATA